AAAAAAAAAGCCGTAGTGAGCCAAACAAAGACATGGAAATGTGTAGTTTAAAACATATTCACAATAATAGAATCAGCAACACCAATAAAATATATAGCATTATAGCATTATTAATATTGTCCTCAAGTAGAAATTTTAGTCACTGAAGTAGAGGAAGTGGAAAACATATTTTAGTGCCTGTGGCATTTGGTCTCCAGCTATAAGTAAAACCTATCCTATTTCAAACTATCATATGTCTTCGGGTCTCTAAATAGTCCCAAAAGTGAAGAAAATGCAGTGTGTGTTTCCTGAAAGACACTACATTGTCCATATCGTCTTTTTCACAAATCAACTTTCTTAGGCCCTCATTGACTTATCAGTTTGTTATTTTGTTAGCAGAAAATATAATTTCTTTTTACAACTTGATCTTATTTCACAGTACTGTCCTAAGGAAATATAAAGACACTCATTGTACGAAAGAAAGAGAAATAGCCATCCAGGGCAAAATAAGAAAGAGCGGAGGGACTCAAGTCAGGGCAAAGCAAAGAGATTGAAAGAGGAGGGAGGAGAGGGTAAGGAAATGAACAAGCAAAACTCTGGAAGCCAGCCAAGTCCCAGATGAGAACTCCTGGTGAGTCTGTCAATCCACAGAATGTGCCGCTTTATTTGCATTTCTACTTCTTCTTAAGGCAATGATGTATATTTCATTTCATCTTTTATTTGTTTATGATTTAATTATAGGAAGATGGGGAATCTAGCCAGGAAGGAAGAGTTATTCTTTCCCCCCAAGTGCTACATCTGTTAGAGGTTGCATATAAGTGAATTAATTGCCAAAAATATCTTAGGGGGAAGGCACATATTTACTCTTCATTTTAGTTACCAGGGATTGCCAGGGACTCATTCTAACATCCTATCCTTGTTATTAAAAAACAAGGACTTACCAGTAAAGGGTGCCAACACCTAAACAATGAAGAGATGGTTTAATCAAAAAGAATTCTTCTTCTACTCCCAAATATCATTGATTCCACAACGTAGGAGTCTACTTATGACTGCTCAAGTCACACACAGACACATGCTTGTGCACACACCAACAAATACACTGCCGTAGCTCAGGAAACAATTACTCTACTGCTGCTGAATTGTTAAACATTGAATAAATACACAGGTGATTTAGTACTTTTAATGAAAAGGCAATTTATCCAACAAATATATTTTGTTAAGCCCTCTGTGTTTTGCGTAATAGAGAAATTCCCTAGGAACATAGAGAGGAATATTTCTTACTTTCAAGAAAATTCCAGGGACAGCTTATCATAAAGAGCTACAATGAAAGTGTAACAGGTCAAGAAGTATTAGTAAGTGCACTGGTACTAACTGGCTTGCGTGCTGTCTTTCTTTCTCCTTTTATAGTCAAAGAGAATTTTCCAACAGCCAGCCCCACCACCCTCCTACCTACATTTTCCACCTTCTTCCTTTCTCAAGAAAATTCCCT